TCACTGTATTGCTTGCAAAAATCTTCTTGCAGTTTTCATAAGTCTGTATTTTTACCTGTTGTTTCCAGAATTGATTTTAAATAGATTTTATAGGCAAGTTTTGTTTTGTTTAACAAACACCACCCACCCCAGCCCCACACAAAAAAACCCCAACAAACCAAATAGACAAAAAAAGGAAAAACAAAACCCATCTTTTTTTCTTTTAGTGCCTTGGAACCACCTTATAAATTAGGTGGAATGGACCTTTGGAGGTCACCTGCTCCAACTGTCTGCTCAGAGCAGGCCCAGCTTCATCACTAGGTTGAGTTGCTCAGAGCTTTGTCTGGGCAAATTTTGAATCTCTCCAGAGAGGGAGACTCTATAGCCTGTTTGGGTAGTCAGTGCATTCTGGTTTTTGACTACCCTGGCTGAGAAGACTTTTCCCCTTACTCCCTCTCCCACTTTTGTCTAATTGGACTGCCTCTTGCTGCAGTCAGTGTGCACTGCCTCTCACCCTTTCACTGTGCGTCTCCAAGACAGTCTTGCTATGTTGTCTCTAACCACCTGCTAGGTAGTAGAAGGTAGTAATTGGATTTTCCTCACCTGCTCTTCAGGGGAATTAATCCCCATCTCAAACCTCTCCTCTCGGCTGTGCTGTGCTGTAGCCCCCGAAGCATGCTGATAGCCCTCTACTAGGCTCCCACCGGGTTGTCAGTGTCTCATAAAGGGGAGCCCAGAGCTGTGAGGCTGAATCTGGAGTACTGTGCCCAAATGTTGAGTCAGGAGGAACAATCATTTCCCTGAACCTGCTAGGTGTGCTTGTATTAATGCAGCCCAGTATTTATCTGCCTTCATCACTGCAAGGTCATCCTGCAGATTCCTATTCAACTTCCTGTGGACCGAGACCTCCAGCACCTTTCCTTCCAAGCTGCTCCAGCCAGCTGGCCCAAGGAGCATTCTGCAGCATTCTGCTGCAGGACCAGGCAGGAGTTTTGTGTGTGCCTTTTGAACTTCATCATGAACTTCGTTTAGTAGTTGTAGCTGCCTTATATGCTTCATGGGCAGCTGTCAGATGACGGCTTGGCAATACTAGGCATGCTAGTGAAACTAAGCAATGACTTGTCTACCCTCCCTGCTTTTACAGCTCACTATTTTGCCAGCGCTTGCTCCGGTTCCATTCACGTGGATATAGGATTCAGGGAGGCCAGGGGCCATATCAACTGTCTCTGATTTTAATAAAGGCTGTTAATTTACAGGTTTACATTTTACAAAAACATGAACTTTAATGTTGTCATAGTACATCAGTGATTCTAATATGAAAGCAATTTAACAAGGTAATTTTGCATTAGTTACGGTGGCGTAGCTGGTTTTGTGCAAGTCTTCAGTTACATACATACTCTGTGGCTTAGTTATTGAAAAAGCTCCTTCACTACAGCAGATACTTGATCATACTCCAAAACATGTCCCTCCTTTCAAGTTTTGGACATGGAATGTTGTAAGTTTTCCTTGAAATCAGAACAGTTCCTTTTGACTCTGAATAGTTGCTTTCCTGCTAGTGTTGTGTGTGAACCCGTCAGCACCTACAGAGGCTGTGTTGATACAACTGTGCTGACAAGGCTGCACCCCTTGTGCTAGTGAAACACTTTTGTTTATAGTTGTTCCTTGAAGACATAGGTTTGGTGATGCAGGTGTTTAAATAGTACCACATTAAAATAATTAATTTGTCTTTCTGCTGATTGGTCTTTTCCTTTCTCTCTTTTCCTACCCTGTATTTCATACTGTGTCAGAAAATGTAACATTCTGGTTAGGGTGTATTAGTACCGTAAGTTTTGAGTGTTGAGGGATAATATTCAAGTGTCTGAATATCCCATTTGCAGAGTGCTTAAATGCTGGTCATAATGAAAGTGGGATTCTTATCATACAGATTAAGTGTGAACCTGAGATGTGTATCATTGATAATGCCTTAACTCACCCCTGCCTTACCTATGGAAGAAAAATGATTGCAAGCTGTACCATGAATGCTTTGTTACAGGGCAATACAGCTTAAGATGCAGAAGCATTAAAAATTTTCACACAGTGTCAGTGTATACTGCACTAGCCATTCATAACTTCTTTTTTTTCTAGGCTATTCAGGAACAAATGAAAATTCATGGACAAGAACCAGTTTCTTTTCAGGATGTCAAGGTTAGCTTTACTGAATAAAGTATTACATGAAATCTTTGAATGAGCATTTTGTAATTTAATTACATCGTAGTTTCTAGGTTTTGTATAACTACTTGCAGAGTAGTAGAGATGAACTGGCTTGTCCTACTCATGGGTTTGAAAATGTCTTTCTATTCAGCTGTTGCTCTGTAAGATACTTGTTAAATACATGTTGCTTTTTCTCACACCTGAAGGTACTTGGTAAGTCCATTTTACAGTTCAGGATCATTCCTCGGGAGTGGGGGGCAGACTGGTGACTTTAAAAAAAGCCTATAAAACTGTCTTTATTACTGTCTACTTTAGCAGTTTTAGTACTTAAAAAAAAAGTACAAGAGCTTCTACAAAAGTTAGCTTATACAAGTGAACAGAGTTTTTCATATTGCCATTTAGAGGCCAAAGCCTCCTCAGTAAGGAAAATTCTTATTTGAGAGGTGGGAGCTGAGCACACTGCTCCTAACTGTAGCCAGTTAGTGTGCTTTGTATCATAAGTGCTTTGGGACTTACTAGCTGCTTTTTTGTAAATCAGTGTGGGTGGCACTGGTTACCCAAAGATCATATGCTATGAAATAGCCATTATTCTGCTCATTAATGTGGTGGTGGGGGGGTTCTCCCAATTTTGACTTTTCTTTCATAGGATGAAATCTTTGATATGGTGAAGCCTAAGGACCCTTACAAAATCTCCCTTCAAGACTTGATCAATAGCAGTCAAGGAGACACTGTTACCAGCATTCTAATTGACCTGAATGGGTTCTGGACATATGAGAACAGAGAGGTCCTTGTGGCAAGTGATAATGACAACACTGCTGATGTTGATGATGCATGACTTCGAACTGGAGCAGACTGTATCCATAGAGATATCTTAATCTAATGCACCAACTGTTGGGAGTGGAAACGTTCATTATCTGAATCAATTCCTCTTCCATTTCACTTCCCTCCCTTCCCACCTTGCCCCCACATATGATGTAAAATGTGGTACGCACAGGAATCACAGAAATAATTTCTGAAACCATAAAAAGCAAGTGTTAAGAGGCAAAAATTATCTTTTTTTAAATAAATATTTTCTGACTTTTTTCATGTGTAATAAGCCCTATTCTTATTTAAATATGCTATTCGAAGTGTGAATATACCCTGAAAGTAAGGATGTGGTTCTTGGTGTCTTCAGCACTGGTGTCTTGGTGTCTTCAGCCATTCCAAGCCTCCCACTGCATTCTGTATGGCTTCCTCTAATGACAGCACTGTTGACTACTCTGTTGTGAAAGCAGCCTTCAGTAGGAGAATAATAATTTAGGCCTTTTTCTTCTATATACATGTCCAGCTTTAAGTGTCTTAACAGAAAGGATAAATAAATCATTGAACTGACTGAATAGTTACCTGACTTTTAAGAGGTTTATTAACAGAAATAAAACTGCAGTAGCTTTAGGACTAGTTAAAACTAATCCAAACACCTGTATTGAGGCTTTCACCAACTTAACTTCCTGTGCAAGTATTTTATGTAATCTAACTTAATTGTACAGCTGAGCTGCAGCAGTAGTTGCAACTGTGAAACTCTTTAAGAGAGCTGTAGAAATGTTTCAACTTTCAGGTAGGATTACAATAGCTCCAGGCCAGAAGTGTTTGCAGTCCTGCATTATTTATTAGTTTGAGGTAGTGCTGAACACACAGAGTACTACATGGGACTCTTAAGGAAGGGGTGGGGGTAGAATGATATTTTGAATTCCGGTGCCTGAATATTCAACCAGGATGTGTGACTTAGTAAAGATGTAAACAGTGAACAGGCACCTGTGTACAGGCATAAAGTTTCAAAGACCACACAGTTGTAAAAGAAAAGCAATAATCAACTTCCAGTTCAAAAATTATATTAAATATAAAATAACCAATTAATGCATTTACAGAAAAATTAAACCAATATGAAAGTAACAACTTTCATACAGTTTGCAAAAAACTGAAGGAAGGATTAAGTTAAGGCACAGTGAGTAATAAGAGTATTTTATACAAAGAAGTTTAAACCCAAGGCAGTGAGAATATTTCTGATGCAACAAATACTAGGGAGAGAAGGTAAAAAAAACAACTGACATTAATTTCTTGGAAGAAAAGCAAAGCATCCTTCAGCTGTCAAGGTATTACTCAAGCAACATGAGGCTTTCTATCTTTGACAGTATAAGAACTCTCAACAAGCTGGTTTTCTTTGTATTCCCCAGGTGTTGAACCAAGCTCTCCCTTGCAGATGTTCAGGGCTAAGGAATGATTTTACATTGTGGTCAGCACCATCTATCTTAAAATTCAAAAAGAGGCAAAGTATCAGAATAGAGCTGATGATTGAATCCTCTTCCTCGCATTTTCTGTAGTGATGGAATGCTACAGATAGACAAGAGGAGGAGTTTGTGCTGCCCAGGACCCTAGTTCAGGCCGAGGGGTGTCTGATTATACATAACTCTGGAAACTAATAGCCAAGTTACCTGGCCTGTGGTGTTACATCAGGCTCCTTAGTTAGTTGGCAGTGAAAGCAAGGCCAGGGACATATGATGATACCCAACACAACATTTTACTGAAGACTGTTTTTAAAATTTTTTTAGAAATCTGAAGGACAGAAGTAATGTTTTACATGGTACCTATACCTAGTGCAGGTTCTCTGCTCCTTTACCCACAACAGTTCTCCATAGAAAATGCCTGGGGCACTGACATCTGGTTGTTGCAAACTAAACCGTTCACCTTTTACCAGCTACAGGTACAACAGTCATTTCAGTAAAATCGCCTTAATCAGTATTTGATTTGGAACTACCTGCACTTGGGAAAAAAATAAAAATTACTGTTGCTGCATGTGCCGTATCAGAACACACTGTGTTTATTTAAGAGAAGGAAAGAGTCACAAGTTTGTTTTGTGGTTTCTAGTTATTTAGTATTCTGTGCTAGAGGGGAGAAAAATACCTGCAATGGCATATCCCTTACTGGTAATTTAATATTAAACACATAGTTTGTTTAGGTCGCTCAAGTACATGCACTTGGGTAATCTATGTCTGAAAAAGTTTTCATAGTTCCAGACTGGTATCATACAGAGTGTCCAGTGCACTCAATGTAATTTAGCAAGACTAGTTTCTTTCCCAGGACCATTGAGAGCATGCATTCAAGCACGTGGGTCTCTTAATTCTTGGACTTATAGTGGGAATGTCTTACAATAGTTCTGTACTTTGCTACAGCATTGAATAGAGCAGCTGAGCACTATCAGCCTCCGAGAGTGCTGGTACTTGTTACTAAGTTCTTAAGGGTGTTTATAGCCCTCTGGAAAGTTTTTTTTTTTGATAAAAAAAGTCAGTGGACCCTTAAATCTAATTAACATTAAATCTAATAGTTTCTCTTATGTTAACAACAGAAAAAAATACATGCATACAGTAGCGACAATAAATAGGGGAAATCAGACTCTTATTACTGTGAGTTACAGGATATTAATTCCTATTAATCTATTCATAGAGAGCCGAGTTGCAAACAACGTGCAAATCAGAAACAGGTGTTTAGAAGTAGGAAACAGCACTGCCTCTGCAATCCACAGGTGTTAGAGACACAGCAATTCAAAGAAAAGACATTTTTACTTGCTTTACACAGAAATTAGCTCACACAATCAATTTTAGACCAAATGTTTGTAGTGCAATTTTCATTTTAACTGAAGTGCCAATTTGGCAGAATGCCTCAGCCTTTATTAGGCAGACAGAACTGACATCGCCTAGCTCTCTCCTGATCAATAAGAATGGTAGGAGTTGTATTTCACTGAACAAGTATAATCCTATTTTCCTGTTTATAGCCAGATTGTGACACCTGACAGTTCTTATTTCCTACATTATACAGAGCTTTACACTTAAGGAGGGACGGGAACTACATCTTGTTTATTTTTCCCAATGGACGGGCAATCTCCCTCATTTTCAAAGTTTACATTCACGAATGAAGAGCATGCTGTTGCTTCAGGCTGGTCCGTCTGGACAGGAGCTTCAGCTTGTGGCTTGTTCTGCTGTTCCTGATGCTGTCTTTCTGCTTCTTCTGACATCTTGTTTTCCTGTTCCTCCTCTTCCTCCTAGAGAGATAACCAGATTCATATGCTACTATTTACTATTTACCACTTATTTACATTAACTTGGAAGTCTTTGCATAAGAGCATACCAGTTCCTATTACAAGGCAAGGACATTAGTTCTCCTAGAAAACAGTCATTAGCTGATCATAAGATGAGGTATATTCCAGAACTTCCATCATGGAAAAAAAATCACCACAAGTAAAGGATTAAACCATGTTAAACAAACAAAATACCGAACCATTTTAAACAAACCAAAAAAAGACACATATCTAGATAAGCAGTTTTTAGTTAATGGCAATAGGGACAGGTCTACCTTCTCTAAAGTTTTTTTAGCTCTCAATAACAGCTATCAAAAAATAAGTAATAAAGCTTTAAATATGTTTTCCACCTCTTCCAAATGAAGATTACTAAGGGTTTGGGATTTTTTGCCTAAAACACTGGCTTCCTCTCAGTCATGTCCAGTTATGGTGGTAGCATTATGTTCAATTTACCCTTGACACTGTGTTGAACAAATTTTAGAGCCGGAAAGTATACTGCTAGCAGCCACCTCCTTATAGTGTTCAGCAAAACTGTCCATCCAACTTTCCCACGCTGTTGACTTGAAAATGCATTGTACAAGAGAAACAAACAGAGCAGTCGTCAGGACCCAGCCATCTAAGACTGATAAGCTGGAGAGAAAAGGCTGATGGATAAGTAAGCACTAACCATGCATCAAATGAAAACTGAAGGCAAGCTGAAATTGGGGGTCTAAAACTTCATTTAAATGCTAGAATACAAATATTATTTTTTAAAATACCAGGGAAGGCAAGTTGGGAGAAAAGGAGTGCAAGAACCCTATCTCATACACATACCTCTCTCTTCATTCTGTAATACTCATCAATTGCATATTGGTATTTTGGTGTGCTTATTCCCAGAACAGATGCAATCTTTTCCCCAAGGAAATCACATACTAAAAAGTAAAAAGAGATTTACATATGATTAGTATCTAGAAGAAAATTCTTAAGCACCATTTTATTTTTAAAAGTCTCACTATCTTTCCTGAATGGTTTTCCATAGTCCTACTTCACTGAAAAGATAAAACCAAAATCTGCAAGGCTAATCTACTTATAGGTAATTATTAGCTGAATATACTAAAAATTGTTCTTTAAGATAGAAAATGAATAAAAGGAGAAGAAAATGAAGTTCGGTGAAAATCTAGATGGTGGTAGTGTTTGTATTCTGCTAGTTTCAGCTTTGAATCTAAATTTATTTTGCTAAGAATCAGTTAAAGGATAAACCTTTAACTGAATTTTAACTGAAAATTAACGTTAGACAATACATGGATATCAGCTGTATTAGTTAATTCTAGTGGTACTAGAAACTAGATAGTTATTGATATGTGCATATGTCAAGTCAGTTTTAACAATGTTCTGTGTTGCATACTAATGGATTAATAAAATATTTAGGTTTCAGCTGTCTCAATTTTCAAGCTGTAGGCTACATGCAGCACTACTGTGCTAAAGCAGGTAGTGCACAGTCATAAGTATGGAACAGGGAGGGCTTGTGTCAGTCAGTCTCTTTACCATGGTGATGGCTACAGCACTGGTTCTTGAGTAAAGGCAAGCAAGAAGTCGAAAGTACTGCACTTCCAGTACTAAGGATGCAAATGAGTTAGTCATCTTCAGGGGAAAAAAAGTCAGAAGTTAGCAATTGACTGCTTCAATGAATATTCACAATAACTAATTTTATAGATATCCTGGCATCCCCATTTTTGTGCAAAAGACTAGTTCAAATTACAAATATAAGAGCCAAAACTGAAGTGGGAAGAAGAAAGTAGTAATTTTCAAATTCATAAAACACTTCTGAAAAAAGGAAAGCACCATCTACCTTTGCATATGAAGAACAGATGCGTCAAGGAATAGAATTACACTGTACATTAAAGTGTTTCTCAAAATAAGGATAGGTTAATTAATAAAAACGGACTGCCAATAGTTTTTAGAAATATTCAAAACTAGGTGTACAATGACAGAAACTCCGTAATATTTGTCAAAAAAAACCAATAAAGGTACTTTACACCTTAGAAAGAACACAGACAAGGATAAGCATTTTTAAAACTGAGCAAAATTTTACAAGGTCTACGAGTCAAATAAATTTCTAAGCAAAATTTAAGACCCTTGACAATAGTCTTGTTTATTTTGTAACCTCAGATGTTCATAATTTCTAGTTGTCTTTTTCAGAAAAACTGTCAGTTGAATTATTCCAGACAGCATTCTTTCCAGATAACATCACACAAAATGGTTCCATACAAAACCTAATAGAAAGTTGCCAACACCAACATATCTTCATTTGAAGAAAAAGGGGAAAAGTTTTGATCAAAAGGGTATTTTCTGTTTGTTCTTCCATGCAGGAGTTGGTGATTGAAAGTAAAAAATTTTTTAAAAAGTGCCTGAGGTAAGAGAGTACGTCTCCACAGATTAAATAGAGTTGATTTACACTTCTGAAAAAACAGCAAGTAGAGCCCAAAGACGACTTACAGTATGTCATGGTAACTCTCTGACTTTCAATATTCCAGTACTGGTTTACCAGTAAATAAAGCAATACCTGATAGAGTTGATGTTGCAACTCGCAGCATGTGAAACCACAAGTAGGGTCCCCACGTGAGCGTTGTCTGTAGGAACAAGAGTAGTATGAAGATGTACAGCTGTATGTTCATGGCACAAAATAACACATGCAAAACAGCTTGAGAGGAAAGATTTGCAGTGTTTCCTGTTTGCCAGCTGCCACAATAGTTTTGCTTTAAAATAACTCTAGACCAGACAGATAAAGCAAAGTATCACCATAAGATCTGAATATAACCATGGTTTACCTCTGGGAAAATTTGTTTCTGTGGTTTTTGCTTCCCACTCCCAGACTTGCGAAATGACAAGCATCCAAGTCAATCCCTATAACTATAAAGAGCTTTCCGTAATGTTCTGAATTCCATCAGGCCAAGAAGTGAGGTGAGGTAGCCAAGTAGTCCCTCATTACAACGATGAGTGAACTGCAAAAGACTCTTTAAAACCAAACCAAACCTTCAAACCTGTGAGCAAGAGGCAGCTTCCAAACTTTACAACCAGATATGAATTAGCCCTTGAAATTGCACCTCAAAAATAACACCAAGAGCCGTGAGGAAGGGAGAGTTACTGCAGCTCTGAGGGAGAGATGGACAGGCTGACAAGCAAAGCACCTGGGGTGATGTGAACAAGGAGGAACACAAAGTGAATAAAATAGGGCTCAAGTGGGGTCACCTCAAGAATTTGCATGTACATGAGGAAGTGTCTCTGCAGTGCCTGAACACTAAGACACACAACATGGGACATAAACATAAGAAATTAGAGGTCTGTATGCAGCTGCAGGGGTAGGATCTTGTTGGGACCCCAGAGTTGCAGTGAATGGACTGGAGGGCTGCACTGGAGGAATACAGACTCTTTAGGAAGGGCAGGCCAGGAAGACAAAGAGGAGGAATTGCCCTTTGCATGACTATGGTATATTCACAGTCACATAGAAAATACTGCAGCCTCCAGACAAACTGATATATTTACACATAGTAACTTAAAGGAAGTTTAGCAATTAAATTTAATTAATTATAAAATAATGGGCATACTCAGGCTATGCTTTTCACTAAAGAAAGAGGCTGTATCTCTTAAAAAAAAATAAAACAACAAGCCATGTAATAAAAAGGAAAAGAGGAAAAGCAGATTCCAAGTTAACGGCAAAAAAACTGTAGGCTTTCACTTTTGCGAAAAGGCAAACTCAAATTTCATATTGAACTAAAACATATTTATAGTTAACAGGATGTTGTATTCAGGCAAACTCTTTTTTATGTATGTATCCCCCAGAAAAGATCTCTGTAGAAGTACTTTTCTTGTGGAAAGTAGCAATTAAAGTGTCAGCTTTTATTAAATAAAACACATTAGCTCTACTCAGTTACATAAATATTTATAACGTGTTGCTAAGAACTCTTTGATAATAACTTTTTTCTGTAATATTATTTAATAGATATCTCTACAGGACAACCAATATTATTGTAAATAATACAGCTAGAGAGACTAGTTGGTATAGCCTCAGTATGCATGTACACAAGCTAGACTTCTGTGCTTTCAAAGCACAGTCACTACAAATCAGTGCAGCAATAAATTGTCTTTCAAGCCAGAAACTCAAGTTGGCAAGCTGAAAAAAAGCCAGATGCTATATCTTTTTGGCAGTGGGTATGGAAAATGTCCTGCCAAGGTAAAAGTGTAAGCAAAACCAGCTGCTATCCTGCTTGCACAAAAGCACCTCCAGCTTGTTGATTATGTGCTCAGTTGGCAGACAAGCTAACAAGGAGTTTGTTCAGTTGAAGAAGTCAAAAAAAGTGCTGGAAAAGCTTATTGCCACAGGTGCAAATAATGGCATTGACAGGGCTCTGTACAATCCTTCATGACGAGGTGACAGGGTTAAAAAGCATTCACACAGTGTGCAGGACAAACACAGGCCTGCTGTGCCCTGTAAGAAAGAAGCTACAAGAACCCCGTTAACATTTAAGAGTGAAAAGACAGGCTGAACTTCAATGTGACAGAAGTAATTCGGACCCAGAACATTCTAACAAGTTTGTGGAGACACAAACGTAGGGAACATCTGAGGCTCGGCAGACACAGAGGTTCTGTCTATTTCTACTCTTCCCCCACCACAGTTAAAAATCAGTTTGGTACATCAGAAGCATTTCTAAGTTCAGCTTCATGGGAATCTCTGCTTTCTGACAAAGCCCAACCAGACACTTCTTCACCCCTGCCAAGCGAGGCTTTGCCAGTCTCTTCAATTTAAAAAGAAACATTCTTTCCAGGGTCTCAAAAGACAATATAAAACCATGAGAGAAGCTACTTTACACAAATTCAAAAGGAGAAAGGAGATGGCTTGGAGAGTAAACCACCAGGAACAGCCAGGAACAAGGGAATGCATTCAAGCAATCATCTTTTTCCACCCATCCCCCACTTACTTCCTCAGGGTAAATTTGGGTGGCTTCCCAGAGCACCTCGAAGATGGAAACAGAACTGGCAAAGAACTGGTACTGGAGAAACCAGAACCATTCGAGTGATATGAACTGGGCTGTTAAGCAATGGCTCAGTACAAACTAATGCTAGTCTGTGAAGTAGCTTTAATGCACTGAGCTGAAAACTGGAAAACCATACCCAAGTCAGGTCCTACAGACCTGTAGAACCATATACTCAGATACATCAACCTCCTCTGGCCAGCCAGAGAAGCCTTCCTGTTCAGTCTTTAATCAACTCACGGACACAGTAATACTGTATTTCTTGAATGGAAACAAGGGGCAGCAGTATGAAACACAGTACACTAGTTTATTGTAAGGGAACAGTATTTCTCCTGCCATCAGTCTCTTAAGTATATGTTTCTACAATGCTTAATTATATTATGCAGCTATCCTGACTTTATTTTGTCGTTTACAATGGAAAACACAATGGTTATGACAACTGATTTTTAAATTACAAAAAATCTTAATGTACAATTTTAATTTAAATAGGAATTAACATAATGGATTCAACCACTGATAAAACCAAGGGGCCTCTGGTTCAACAACAGAACATGATTTTGTTTCCTAGTAATGGGGCTGCCGAAGGGAGCACACATGCTCCCTTGAACTTCCGACTGCACCATGTTTCTAAACAATCCACATCTGTGTCTATTTTTGGCAGATTTCAGTTCTTACTAACACTTGCACTTTCCAAAGTACGTAGCGTTACTTTTTGTCAGAGAAAATGGCAAAATGGGAAAAATAATAATTTCCTGATTTAAGAAAAAACAAATCTTGTATATAATAGTTAATATACGCCACCAAATAGATGCTTTTCCATTGTTTACTGTGCCAAGATAGGTTTGAAATTAGTTTAATAATTGACTGTTCATTGCTATAATAGGTCCTTCAGTAAATGTATCATATAAAACTGTGGCATCTAAGACAAGCCAGTGAAAACAAGATCAGAAAAACACACATCATCCTCAATCAAGAGCTTCTACCATATCATGAGTAGTTATTACTTATTTTTCTCCTTCATCCCAAATTCTTGAAAGAAAAAGAGAGTTCAATGGTTCTCAAGAGAGGATTTTTTGCTATTTAAAGTTAAGGGCCTTTTAACTACAGGATATCAAAATAACCTTCCTGCAAGGATGTGTTTCAATCTTTCTGAGCACTGAAGGTTAAAAAAATTAAATCTCTTCTGGAGTTCTGTTGGTCTGTTTCTCAGGATGAATTCTAGGGTTATCACACCAACAGTTATATTGCTTACAGTTCCTCTGCAAAGACACTCCACCTTCTGCCTCCTCATGTAATAGGTGAATGCAACAAAGAGTTTATACCAAGTGTCCCTCCAGGGATAAACGAAAGGATTATCTTCTAGAACAGGTTAGGGAAATTTAATCAATACAGAATAAAGTTTTGGTAGACAAAAGCAAAAGGAAATTAACATATAAAGTGCAAACATCTAAATTTTAGGATAGAAGACTCAAAACATTTATGCTATAAAAGCATTTCAATTTCAATTTGAGAACATTCAGATAATACTGAAAGCTATTATCTAAAAAATAAGAATACTCTGTGCTCTGGATTCAAAAAACCAAAAAACTACAGAATGGACACTCCACTCAACAATACTAATGAACTGAGTGCTGACCTACAGAAAGTACCAGAAGCTGTTTCAAAGCAAAATTTAAAATCCAGTTCTTTTTGAGAATTTGTTTTTTTTCTGAGTGGTAGCAGTCCACCACACCAAGTGCTTGGTTATCATATTACCAGGATATATACATACTACTTTGCTTAGCAAGAAAGACATTGTCATTGCCTGCTTAGCTCTAAACACAATCAAAACAAGGTATATACTGAAGACATTTCTTTACAACACAGCAAAATATTTGTTTCCCTTAAACTCATTCAAAAGCTGCCAGGAAGCCAATACCAGCTGAGCTTTGAAATTTCATGATGCAAAGTTTCTATTCAAAGCATTAAATGTGCTTTTTCTAAAAATAAACTGGACCAGAAACAGCTATTACTTGCAACATACTTTTTTGTGTCCCAACTGAGATAAGTTTTAGACATGCTGGTCTCAGCAAACAGACTATTTAATTGCTTTTATAGAAATCCTACATTAAAAACATTTTTAAAGCAGCTGTTGGCTAAAACATCAAAGCTCAGCTTGGACTAACATTTCTTCAATTGTCTGGCTCAGCTGGGATACACGAAGCATGCAGCAGATAAAGTAAACCTCACTTAATGGCAACTCCTGCTCTAATCAAGTTCATTCTGTCAAGGTAAAAAGCAATACATAATAAGGCAAACTGTGCTCCACAATAAACTATTCTGGTTTGGGGGGTCCTTTTATTAAAAAGTGTAATAAAAATTAAGGATTTAATAAACTATAAAAGGAGAATAGAGCAATCTTAACTCCGCCATACAATATACTTTTTGGTATTCAGAAAAAAAAATCAGTATTAGGAAAGTAGGGGAACAATCACGCAGCATTCCTGGCTGTTGTGCACACTTCAGGGCTCTTTAGTTAAGTGTCCATTTGCACAGCAGCATGCATGTCTCTGCCCTCACAACATGTACACCAAGGCTCGCAAGCCTTTGATCGCTGCACCACAGCAGAACTCTTCTACTCCGAGGAAACGGCACCAAAAAATTATACACATCTGGTCCCCTGCTCATTATAACTGGGGAAAATATCTCTTAGACATCCATGACCTGCATAGCGGGGAAGAGATCTGACTCAGAAGATACCTGAACATTACCATAATATGCAGTAAATTTCACAGTTCTTTAATTTCTTTGAGAAGACCCTTAAGGAGGAAAAAAACCCCAGCATGCAGCAAAGCAGCTTAACATCTTACTCGTTGTTTGTGACTATAAGACATTTCTTTTCAGACTATAAGCTTCACATGTTTTATACTGATGATATCCCATCTGCTCTCAGGCTAATATTACCTTTTGTTGTATACAAGAACTGCCTAGCAAGAACAAGAATGCTGCCATCAATCCATACAAGATGCAATGCAACAGCTCACCTGCGAATCACTAGAAACCCCAATCCCAGCTAAATTCCCATAGTCTCACTGCAGCTTAGTCCTCAACCCGCCTTCTTTTTTCTTCAAGATAAATTCATTTTACAGAGGGGAAAAGAGGTATTTATTGACAGTCCTCCCCAAAACAAACCTCTTATGGTTCACCACTTCTTCAGAAGAGCATGAGCAGAAAATCAAATGCTTCACTTCAGTCCCTTCAACAAAGCCAAGCTCTCCCAGGAGGGATGTACATATAAATAAATACAGGGCCTACTAGTGTAAATAGAAATCCTCAACCACAACATTTCTTAATTATGGATTGCCAAACGATAGTGCAGAAGTCCTTTCAACAACAATGTCAGGTAGAAAGCAGTGCACTGGTTTTTGTGCGTGCAAGGACTCTTCTTTCAAGTGCGGGAACAAACAGCTCTACACCAGCATCTGCCTCCAGCGTGCAACCAGGCAAGACTAGCTGCTGCACAAAGCCATGACTCCTGGATGTCTGACCACACTCCAGCACATCAGGAAGGACTCAATTTTAGAGTCTCCAGCTCAGTACAGGTATCCAAGCCCAGAGAGGGCCAGGAAGGGAGCCCTGTCAGCAGGAAGGGAATCGGACTGCAGACCCAATTTACTGGGGTAAGAATTGTTGTAGGAGGGTAAAGAGGCAGTTGGGACACCACTTTCTGGGGCTGTCATGAAAGAAACATGAGACTGGTCACATGGAGAGATGACGAGAAGGATGTGGATCTTCTCTGGGACTGACTGCTAGAGGGTGGGGAGCTGCTGCTGCCAGTGTTAGCACATAGAGCTGTGAGCTCTGCAATCACACTATCACCACAAAATAGTTTATTAGACAGGCCAACAGAATAAAACAGATTATATGTTTTATTTTATCTCTAAGTATACATCCAGAATCATTGAGAAAAAAGGAAAATGTATTTTAACAGCTACAATACACACTATGGCAACAGCTTTAATTGTTGAGACTCCACTTGAATCTGGACCAACAAAGGAAACTCCATTCACAAGTCGAGCAACATCTCAACATCTTACATGACAGGTGAACATTACATACATGGACTAGGCAGGTCCTTTAGAACCTGTTTTTTAAACATCATGAATTACACCAGTTTTCCTTTATTTCTGCAAGTCATCTGTTTCTTTCCCTTCTATGCTCTTTTAATTATATCAAATTGCTGGTATGGTAAGTCTAAATTACAGGTTTAACTCTCCACTGTCAACAAACACAAGCAAACAAATGTCCCCCCTGCATTTTTTTTTTTTTAAAACAAATCAAGGAGATACCAAGCAAATACTATTAGAGATGGAAATGCTGGAAAGGACAAACTGGAACAGTGAAGAAATTAACCCACTTGTAATTAATAGGGCTATTTTAGTGGAGGAGAACTCTAGGACAAAACTCCCCAAGAATACTTCTCACAGGTTTCCGAGTTCCTAAAGCCAAACATATCAATGGAATCCTTAATACTGAAAACTAAATCAGATTTGTGACATAAAAAATGAAGTACAAAATGTTGATAGTTACCCGGTAAACCAGAAGTAGCAATGTATCAAGCAAAATACTTACAGGATCTACAGGCGGCAACAGGTCTTTTTTCTCTTGTTCATCTTCCTCTTCATCTGTGCTATATTCTTCCATTGTTTCTCCACTTGCAAAATGAATAACTCTCCTTGGAATTTTCTTCTTCTTTCCTATGACACCCAGCTCCACATTCTCAAAGCCACCATCTCCCTTTGCAAGTTGCTATAAAGAAAAAAAAATCATTATCTAAGTAGATGTTTCTGGAACTGGAAATTTTCCCTTTAAAAAATGTGATATTTAAAATATTTTAGATTAATTAGCATATGCAGTGAACATTTGAAAGAGCTTGGCTGTAGGTAAAAAGACTCACACAATTTTGTGGGCAGATATGTAAAAACTGATCTCTTCTCTAAAAGTAACAAAAAGGTACGTGCCTTTACTTCAGCATGAAAGCTGGTATTAAAAACATCTATTCCAAAAAAGCACGGCATTATATAGGAGTTTCGGGGGGGGGGCGTATTTCTTTAAATAATTCAGTAAGCATGTAAGTTTTAATATTGAAAAGTATTGTTGGTTTTGAAATTAATATCTAATGAAATTAATAAAATAGTTCATAGGCTGCAGCCACCTTTGTGAGCTCAGGCAGACACCTCTAGCACAAAAGAGAACTGAATAACTAAGCAGCCAGGCTTGGGCTTTAAAAAGATGCATCAAGGAATCTACCCCTGTGGGCTTTCATCATCAACCACAATTAGTACAAGGGACCATGCTAAAAGGACAACACTCAGTTCTGTGGCTAAGGACATATAAAATGAGATGTACAATATCTGTTTTTCCAGTTGCTGAATACTACTGTGCAGTCTTCAGGTCACAAGCATTAAAAATATATACCTCTAGTTCAAAGGCCAATCAAGAACTCTTTAGGCTAGTAACTCCTACAGCAAGAGAATTTTAGTATTTAGTAGGTTTTGTATTGTAGCTATCAAAACAGAGCCTTTGTCTTGGTCGAGTTTTTAGATACTACTGTATCAAATGCACAAAATTGTTCTGAAAACACTGCCATGTAGAGAAGGCCACAGAGGTTAGGAAATGCCAGCCACATGTTTTTAATGTACCATGAAGGTTTTTAAAAATGCATGAGCTCGTATAATTTGACACTGTATCGTAAGGAATTACGTAAGTACACACAGAATCCAGGTTACATAAAATGGGTATATTCCAAATTCTGACTTCTTCTCTATGCAAAACTTAATGATCTACACAAAGCATAAATCAAAATTATAAATAAAAAAATATATTTTATCACACAGTTGTGAAACATCCCTTAATCACTGCAAGTGCAGCATCACCACTCCCATCTCTCATGCTAGACTACTACATAAAACAGCTTTGCAATGCAAACAGGCTTGGTTAGCTAGGAAAGACAGTGGGCATGGGAGAGAGAGGCAGGAGGGGGCCGCAGGCAGCCAAATGGCTTTCTTCATTCTAAGCACAGATTTTTCTCATGCCCATAGAGAAGAGGGAGGGAAAGATCACGTGCAGAGCTCTACAGCGTGGACGAGAACCACGCCAATTCATCATCTCTCCAAGCCCTCATACCATGGCTCCTCAAAACTGCAAGTCATCTCAGCTTCCCCCAGCATTTCTTTAGCTACAGTGGCACATTTCAGGCATTTTCCTGGAGGAGCAGAGCAGAATTCAGCAGCAAGTTTTCACTGGGGTAATTCAGCTGAAACAGCATGGTATTTTCATGCAGATTCAGATTTTCATATAGAAAGATAAAACTATCTGGAGCTCAGTGCACTCTGCTGTCTATCAGTCTTAGGAACAGAGAAAAGCTACACAAATATGAATGCTGAAAACAGTGAAGCAACCTAAGCATAAGGAGCACTCTGTGCTGCCACTATAAAGGTGGGTACCACTTACTGTGACTCAGTTCTGTATTTTTTGGTGCAAAAAGCAGCACAGAACCAGCTTTTTATGAACATTCCATGCTCCTTTATTGGCATCATACAATGACGCAGTTTTTCATGTTTAGCCACAGTACTGCAGAGCACTATTTTTTGCTAACACAACATCATGTGTTTAATAACAGCGAGCAACATGAGCCCCTCCTTAGAGCTCTTCTAAAGGCACAGTCTCTTCATCCGATTTTGGCTTGTTTAATGCAAATACTTCAAATATTTTAACTTAGAAAAAAATAATGGTTCGTGTTTCAAGTTTAAAAAGAAGCTCTTAATTCCCCGCACACCCATCCCACACTTCACTTACACTACCCACAATAAGCAGCTCTGCGTAGCTGGTACTGCTACAACATTTCAGACAAATGCAGTAGTTCAAGACAATAAGGATACATCAAGGAACAATGAATCTGGTTCCAATTCACAAATTATTAAATAAACTAATATATATCAGCTGTTGCTTTGGTTGTTACCTAGTCAACAAACGTGTGTAGGTTTTAGTTATCACTGCAGCATTTATCCTTTTCATTTTTACCTGCACAATGTCAATAAAAGCCAACTCTCCCAGCTACAAGCAGAAAGTTCAGCATCAGTGAATTTATTTATCTTTCCAAAACTGTGGCAATGCAGATCTATTCTAGAGCTGTGAGCTAAACTCCCTTTATAGCTCAAATGTTACAGTATTTCCTGTTTGAGAATTTATACTTTTGATCTTCCTTCACGATTTGATCTTTTCCAATTCAGGAAGTTTTTACAAACATCATTCTTTAAGTACATGGCTTTAGTCAAGTTTGTGACCTCATTTTTTTTTCCACTGGCCTGTCCTTCTCCAACACATTATATGGTCTTGAAAGACTCAGCATTTGTCTTAACCCCACATCAAAGAAGTATCTACTTTGGCATCTATTCCAGTAACTGTTTGACATGAAGGCCGGTCACTCTTCTGCTTTCACCACGCTAGCCGACATTCTTAAGGTCCTTGGTAAACACTATAAAGCAACTTCCTCTTTCTTTTAAATGTCCTCTTGGAATTTTTCTTGGCTTTATGACACACATGAAAACCTTGCCTGTCAGGAAGTCAGCATCTGAAACTGCTGCTCCTTGTTTACCCTCTTTACACCCACCCTCTTATCTCACCCTTTGTCCAGAAATGGAGAGAGAGCAGGGCATCTTTTGACAGTGTAGGTACAATAACCAGCACAATACAATTCCAGTCTACATCTAAAATGTCAAAATAAATAAACTACAGTTAAGGATAAGGTGTGCCTGGACACTTGCAGGTAAGCTAGGAGAGCTCACACAACTAATGTGATGCAATAATATAAAGTGTGTGATGTCCGCTCTTGCGCAGAAAGATGAGTCAATTTGCACATATCTACTGGTCTGATACTGCTAATCCCTAGAAGGTTAGTATTAGTTAATGAAAAGTATTTCTACCATGCTATCTTGGCTACTTTACTGATTTAATTTGTGTTAATTTTTCTGGCTAGGGTTTTGGGGAGAGTTTGTTTAGGTTTGAGTGAGGGTGTTTTTTTCTGCTTGCCTGGCTTTCCACCCTTGTGTTTCAAATTAAACAGCATGAGTCTTTCTCAAACAGAAGACAACAAAGTACAGAGTCAGAGGACGACTGTAAGAAAAGACACCCTCGGAATAAACAAGCCTTGGAAAAGCACCATAACCAGTGAAGCGGCAGCGCCTGTAACACCCAGGGCGAAGCCGCGGCAGCGCAGGGGCAGGCGCGGCAGGACAGGCGAGCTCCGGGCTGCGGTGTAATTAACAGCTGCTGTCCCTCACCATCTCCCACGCCTTTGCCAACTTCACAGCGCGGGGGGAAGTGGAAACCTGTCTCGCTTTAATATTCATCAGGCTCATTTGTCAGAGGCATTGTCCCCGGAGAACAGGAGACACCGGAGACACGCGAGCCCGCCGTGCTGGCTGTAATTACAGCGCGCTGGACGGGAGCACAGACCGGCCGACAACACATCGACCTCTTCTCCCGCGGCCGGGCCCCCGCGCCCCGGCGACGAACAGGGGACTTTCCCCGCCCCGCACACCCGCGGGGTCAGGCCGCAGCCGCCACCCACCCCCGGCCGGACCCACCGTGGCCTCGTCCCGCTGCGGAAGCGGCAGCGCCCGGGCCCCGCTGCTCGCCCGGAGGGGCCGGGCCCCGCCGCCCCGCTCACCTGCTCGGGCTCCATGGCGCCGATGGCGGGCGCGGGGCCGGCGGCGGGCGCGCAGTAGAGGGTGATGGCGGACAGCCCCTGCTCCATCCTCCCGCCCGCCGCGGCGCCGGGGGAGGGCGGCAGCGGGCCCGCCGCGGCCCGGGTAGGCGAGAGCGGCCGGGCGGTGCCGCCCGTCACACCGCCCGCCGGGGCGGCGCTTGAGGCCTGCCGCGCCGCCGCCCGCGCCTCGCTGAGACTGGCGGCGCACGGGAGCCGGGATCCACCTGGGAGAGACTGAGGGCACCCCTGGCCTTTCTCTCCTCGCGCCAGCCGGGCATCCACCGGAGCCAGGGGGAATCGGGGGAGAGGCCGCAGGCAGCCGGGCTGCCAGGCACAGCCGTACCTCCACCCAGGAGGAAGCATACCTGCTCTGAGGGAAAACCCTAGATTTTTCCCAAAATATTGTAAAAACGTGCAAAATAACAGAAGAATAGTTTAACAAGTACATGAAGTTCCTTGACAGGATTTAGGGATCCTCCTCTCCCAGGGCCACCCTTGCTCAGCCTTCCAGTGTTTGCTCAGGCAACTCAGCACTTTGTAAAGGACCAACCCCTGAATAAGAAAGAAATGCAAACCAAGGGTGCACTGGCTCCTGAGCTTCTTTTGGGTGGGAAAATAACACGCAGTCCCAGCAGGCAGGGAAAAGTGTTTGCCACGTAATAGGTTTGCTCAGCTGCTCCAGCAGAGGTAGGAGCCCTTCTCCTCCTAGCCTGCGCCGAGGCCTCTGTGCTGCAGGTGATGGCCCAGCCTGAACAGAGAACCAGGGCTGACCCCGGCAAAAAGTACATTAGCCAATGCCAGCTACTAGTGAAAACAGCTGGAGGTGGAAGCATTTGAAGCATCCTTTTCATGGGACTAAGGAGGAAGTAGTTTTAATTTTTTAAGTTGGAACCAATGGCTGTAAAATGCACTTACATGGCAAGAGCCATCCTTCAATCCTGCATCATTAAGAATAGCTTCCAAAAATTAGTGTATAGTACATATGGGCTCTTAGACACTTTCTTAGTCATATTAAAGCATTAATTACATCCTGTAACAAATTAAAAGCCCAAGTAAAGCACAGATGTATCACACAATTATACTAACATAAGGCAGAAGATGTTGCTTTGTAAAAAGGGCTGACAACACAGAATGTATTATATTGAATATATGATTACAGAAACACATGAATTAAAGGCTAGAATATTATTTTAGACACTACTGGGCTGAATACCTGCTTTAGGTATTAAAAATCTGTATTACCTAAAGTTGCAAAGAAACAAATTAATGTTAGGATGCATTAATACCTCTACATTCTATTTAGTAAGGACTGGTTGAAATAGGGTAACAGCTTCTAAAGAACAGCTTTAAGTCCTCAACCAAACAACTTGCTTTCCTTTGCCTCTATTGTGATTATAGCAGCTGTAAAGTAGTACTCAATCTTTAACCTCCCAGAACAGCTGGCATTTGCAACTGAGAATTTTAATAAACTTAGCACATGACAATATTGAAAATCCTATGGAAAAGTAAAGACTGTTCACAAATAAACCTTATAGCTATTTGTGTATGCTAATAGTTAATTGTCCAGCTCCAATCACACAGCTATCTATTGACCATCATAACTGTTTTCTCTTAGTAGACTGCTCAGCAGCAGACTGAGCTCAAACAGCTCAGAAAAAAGCTTGTCTGACAGCAGCAACAGCTTTCAGCAAGATACACACAGGAAGACAGACCTCAGTCATCTAAGTATTTCCAGCAAATTTTGCTTGCCTCTAGCTCTTCAGGGTTCTTGTATGCCAGAGAAAACTTTTCTGTAGACGTTTCTGAGATCCTGTGGAGGATGAGTACAAAAACCCTAATGGAAGAAAATGGTGCTAGGGGAGTTATTACACACTTGCCAACAGTCTTTTATTTGCATCAAGCCTTGAGAGGCCATGTAAGTCACCAATTCAGAATACCAAACTGAGAGAACATATAAAACATTCTGTTCTCCTGCAACAACTTTAGCATTTTCTTCCACACATTGTGCTCTGCAGGATCCATAAACATAAAAATTATATCCCAGTCTCTAAAATTGTTCTCTTACAAAGCTAGGAGAGAATTTTGTAAGTGCTGCTCTACAGTTGAACTCTCCTTCTTGGTGCCTCCAACATACATGATTTTTTTTTTTTCAGACTTCAGATCCTCAGGCAACTTTTCTAAGCAGGCTCCAAAGTATTTTCTACCTGGCTTGCTAAGGTAAGAAAATATACACTTTGTTCATTTAAACATGTATCTTATACTTTAAAGGAAATGCATTCTGAACTTGCCCTTGGCCTCTGCCAACACTCAGCTGGTGACAGCTCTCTTCCTATCTGGTAGCAGAGTTAGTTTGGAAATGGTGAACTAAAAGCTAAAACTAAATGTATGCAACAAATTGAAAATAGAGGGTTAATTGTTGGTAACTTGACAGTCTGACTGAGCCTGTCCTGAGGCACAGTGCTTCAGTGTTCATCCTCAATATGCCTATTCATGTTCGATTTCCATCAAATGCATTTAACTATCCACTCTCCCCTACCGACTGTATTCCAAACCAAGATTTGATACTCTTTTCTGCTTTGTTTTGTATAGTTCATTGGTTTATACTGCTCAAGAACTAAAACTACTATTAAAAAAAAATCAGGTTTTAGTAAACACACACCACTTCAGTAGCTGAGGACAGGTCCCCTAAAAGCTGGTGATATGCAAGGACTCTTTTGTTATATTTAAAATATTAAGATCCAACTTAACTGATCCTTTTACAGACTAATGCTATGCATAAAATGCAGTGTATTAGGTAAATGGCATACCTGAAGATTTTTCAGCATCCTCCATGCATTAAACACGAGTACCACTAATCAAGTAGAAGATAGTTTCATATTATAAACTAAGTTACAGCATACCTTATATTACCACAAGAGCATAATTTCCTATATAAGATATTCACTGGTAGCTGCCACCTTTTCAAAGAACTGGCTGACAAATGGACCCACTTGTTTTAATTACTACATTTAGCTTTTATCTTATATAAGCAACAGCATTGGATGTCCATTTACAAACCAAGCACTCTGCAGTATATTGAGGTTCATAATACACCCTCCTACTTTAAGGGTAAAAGATATTTACCAAGATTTCAAGTTTCATTTGGTCTACCTCGTTTCTGAAGTGTGCTTGTAGATTCTACCCTTTTGAGACCAACACAGTCAACTGACATACTAAGAAATGCTATAGGAAATTAAGACTAGATTGTAGCTGAGCAATATGCTCTGTTAGATACAGCTATCTCTGTGTTAAAATTCAGTACCAGCACGGAATTCCACCTAGGATGCATCAGAAATTATCTCCTTAACAAAAGAATGCTTAATTAACATCACGATATGAAGAATTTCTTCAGTATATGAGACAGTTTGATATCTGCATACCCACATTTTTTCAGTCGCTTCATTCCTCGTGTATAGGGAAAGAATGATATAATTCTGTCGAACAAAGTCTTGTACAAACGTGAGCACAGCACATCCACCTTCAAAAATGGTCCACGCCTGAGCACCAACAGCAGATTTTCAGATACTGAACTATTCTTACAGTACCTATGCCAAACATGCGTTACAACACTCTTTAGAAACAAATCAAAATACGGAAATCGTCTCATTACATACTGATAAAGGGCAGTTAGAAACAACTGAAGAAATGGGCCATTCCCTTGTTTATAACCACTTACATTTTATTTTACAGTATATTTGTGACATTTTATGTTACTATAACCAAAGATCAGGGTTGTTTACAAATATAATGGCTGCCATTTGATGTAAACAATTAAAAATGTCTCTGAATATTAAAATTTTACATCATGATCTTATTTCCTTAAATTGAATTACTCTTTGTGCCATCAGTTATTAGTGGAGAGGAACTAATTTAAGCAAAAATAGTTTCCAGAAATTAGATGTAGAAACTGAGAAGCCTGGATAAGATTTCAAAAGACCACTCCCTCATCACTGTAAAAAGGAAGAAAGCAAATTCTTTCACTGAAGTTGCAATGACAAGTCAACCAAGTCCATTTGTGTTAAGGCTTCTTTACATATTATTGAATCCCATCATGCCTTTCATATTGCCAGCAGCACCTTGTTGAAATTGTCTCATCATTGACTGCAAACCTGCCATGCCACCTGCAGAAAGTGAGAACATAATGTGTTAACTCTGAAGCCCAGTTCTCCTGCTTGAGGCCTCATTAAATTACACACATTATTTCAGTCATATACAAATGCAGAAGCCCAAGACTGTCAAACTAGGCTTAAACAGCTATTGAAAGTAAAAAAACTGAGTGACTAATTACAGAAAGGCTTGCAAAACACCAGGCTTAAAGTAGGTTTTAAGATGACCTCTGAATTATGAACTAAAGAAAAAACCTTGAAGGAATGACCAGTATCGATTAGTAAGGTTCTGGTATGGGAGTCTTTATTTAAAGCTGCTCTTATCAAATTTAATTACTTGAAGCAAAGCTTGGAAGGGAAGGGAAGTTTAGGCAGATTTGCTTTACCACAGTCATGCCTCAAGTCATCACTGTTCCCAGACACCATTCCAATTGCTCGTTTTGAGAGCTGAATCCAAACGAAAAAGCTAGATTAAGCACTGGTAAGTGCAAAGCATTTGGACTAAACTTTCTGATTCTTGTTAGAAAGCTTTAGAAATACTTAATACTGATATATAATGCAGTTATTCTCATATGACATTCCTCACTTCTCTATTTCAAATACTCCACCATAACTGTCCTCTCTTGAAGTTATAAAAAGTCAGCACACACCCATATGATGAAGAACTCTTGGATCCATCATCTTTGCCATCTGTTGGTTCAGTTTGGCCAGCTGAGATGGGTTTACATTCTTTGACATATCACCACCTAAAAATAAAAGTGGATTAGCATATGGGGCTAGAAATAAATCTGAATGTTACCTTCTAATTCTAAATTCAAACCCATGAGTCCATTATCAAAAGTTACTACATCAGCCACTTAAAGTTACTTTAAGGATCAACAGTCCCTGCACCCCACATAACAGATTGCAGTGTTAGTATTGTGGTAGTAATCAAGCCTACATTCATAGAAATACAGTGGCTTTCCCTGCTAAGT